AAAGGTGACTGGTAAAGGAGGCTCCTTCTCCAGAGCAGGAGCTTCTCAGGAAAGTGTAGGGAGTTAGCCACCCAGGGTGGGGTGGTAGGGGGACGCGGTCCCACCCTACTCCACCATGTCCCACCCCAGGGCCCTGGCAGGGGCAGGATCGGCTGCCCCTGCGTCGGTGGGGATCCAGCCACAACACGCCGACTGAGCCACAGCCCCTGGGGCTGCCCCTGGGCTACTTCCTGCCTCCTCGGGGGTTGGTACCTGTGGCCTTCAGGCCTCTTCCAGCTCCTCAGGGTACACAGCAGCAGGCTTTCTGGGCCAGTTGGTGTAACAATCAGTGAACCCAAGTTCCCGGGTTCCCTGAAGATGTTCAATGAGTGCTACTTTTTCACCATCACTCCCAGGATCTATTTTCCATCCAACTCCACACTCACCCCCACTCTCCCACTGTGGACCTGTATACAAAATCAAACTGCCTGCCCAGGTATCCAGTTACTGAACAGAACCGCCCCAGCACAGCTAACACCGTGGCATGGTTTGCAGTAGAATAAAGTTCTGATAAACGTTCCCCTTCCCCCAAGTCTTGCAGGGTCCCACAGATGCCCTGTGAGGCAGTGCAGCTAAGGGCACAGATGGGACCTTGATCAGTTCTGTCTGTACTGAGGATTCTGAGAGCCACATGTGCTTAGTGGCTCCCCCAAAACTACAGAGAGTGCAGGGGGCACCCACACCCAGGGATCGGCACCACCATGTTATGCGATGGACTCTTTGCAAAATTACTGTACTTAGTGATGGACACTGGGGGAGGGGGGGTTATGTCATTCAGTCATTTAACGTTTTTTGAAAAATTATCACGGACCTCAAAATTTTTACCATGGACACTTGGGTCTGTGAATGGACACATTGCCTACCCCTGTTCACACCTCTCCCAACACCATTCCTCCCTTCCCTGACTTCAGCTTTCTCTGTTCCTGGATCCCTCCCTTCTGCCCACTCAACCCTTCCCTGGGATCTCCCCATCCACTTCTCAGAGCTCCACCTCCATATACTGGGGTCTCTTCTCTTTCATTTCTGCAAGGGGCTCTTCCTACTTGTGGCCTTCCCCCCCTCCATCATATACCCCTCCCCCAAGTCTTCCTCTTGTGATCTGGGCTCTTCACTTCCTACTGCTGCAGCCCCCCATCCCACTCCACCCTAGTGTAAGCGGGGGAATGGTCCCACTATTGTGGGGAACTTTCCTGGCTTATACACTACCCCAATGGAATTGACTTGAGAAAGGATATGAGTCCTCACTCCTAGTCCCTTTACACAGAAGCCTGCCTAACCTCAAGGGCTCCCCTTCCACTCTCCTGTGTGGCAGAGTCCTCATAACCCCCAACATCACTGGGCCAAGGATTCCTGGGGGGCTTGACCCACAATCTTGTCTTTGTCACTTAGGACAAAGGCTAGAGTGTCCCCACTCTGAGGTATTCTCTCCACTCTGGACACTTCCCTGACCCACTGATCATTAAATACATTTCATAGCAAATACAATTTACTGAACAGCAACAAATTTAAAAATATAAGGTGTAACGATGCTGCCTTTGGTGGGACACTTCTGAGAGTATCAGTTCAGGACAAATTGCTTCAAGCAGGGGAATTACAGCCCAAGGTTGGGGTTTCTCCACTTCTAAGGCACACCAAACCAGCCAGACAAAGAGGACTTTGGTTTCACCCCACTGGCTAACCATAAGTCATACAAGCAATTCCCTTAGACACTCCAGTTTCCCAGTATCACCACCAGTGCCACTCATTATGGGGACGAATGGTTATGAAAACCAATGCCCCAATAAAAGAAAAAAGGTTCTCTCGATCCCAAAGGACCAAGCCCCAGACCCAGGTCAATATACAAGTTAGATCTTACCCACAAATCACGCTGTTGCCAATCCTTTAGAATCTAAAATCTAAAGGTTTATTCACAAAAGAAAGAAATATATATGAGAGCTAAAATTGGTTAAATGGAATCAGTTACATACAGTAATGGCAAAGCTCCTGGTTCAGGCTTGTAGCAGTGATGGAATAAACTGCAGGTTTAAATTAAGTCTCTGAGTACATCCACATCTGGGATGGGTCATACAGTTCTTTGTTCAGAGCTTCAGTGTAGCATAGTTCCTCCAGAGGTCAGAAGCAGGATTGAAGACAAAATGGAGGGGTTTTCAGGGCCTTTTATATTCTCTGCCTGTGGAAGGACCCCTTTTGTTCTTACTGCGGAAAATGACAGCAGCAAGATGGAGTCTGGAGTCACATGGGCAAGTCACATGTCCATGCATGACTCAGTTTGCAGGCCAACGCCATTGTTTACGTGTTAGTTTGAACATTCCCAGGAAAGCTCAGATGTGGATTGGCGTATCCCAGAGTCATTGTCAGTTACGTGTTTCTTGATTGGGCAGTTACTGAGAATAGTCCTTTCTCAAGAAGCTGACCAAAAGCTTCACTGAGGCTACTTAAAATCAAAACACACTGAGATACCAGTCCATAGCCAATATTAATAACATCAACTACAAAAATGCTACACACATACAGACAGCATAACCATAACCAGAAAATCATAACCTTTTCATAGACGTCTCACACAACAACCTTTGTACAATATTTGCTGCAAATATATAACAGTGGTTGCAACAATGATCTATGCAGTCATAGTTTACGTCAATAATGTCACATAAGGAAAAAATGGAAAAGCTTAAAGGAAACAAGTAACCCCACTCTGTGGCATGGGGACGTCACAACCAGAGTCTCTGGAATTTAAGGGCTGTTCACAGTCTGTTCCTCACACGTCCCAGGCTTCCTGCCCAGGCCCTGGCTGTGCTGCAGGGATGCTGCGGGTCGGACACTTGCTCTGGCAGTGACCGGTGCTGGGGAGAATATGGCAGGACCCATCTCCCCAGCATCGGCCCCCACATCAGGGTTATGGTTTGCTGCCAACCCTGGCCTGCAATGCCTTTTGGCTGGTGGGGTCTTACTGCACTGGGCCCGCTGCCCAGGGTCCTCCTCGCTCTCCCCAGCTGCTCTCCGGACTGCTCCAGCCCCAGCCCCAGCCCCAGCCCCAGCTTCACTCTGCCTCATCCCCAGCCCCAGCCCCAGCTTCACTCTGCCTCATCCCCAGCCCCAGCCCCAGCTTCGCTCTGCCTCAGCCCCAGCCCCAGCCCCAGCTTCGCTCTGCCTCAGCCCCAGCCCCAGCTTCGCTCTGCCTCAGCCCCAGCCCCAGCCCCAGCTTCGCTCTGCCTCAGCCCCAGCCCCATCTGCCTCAGCCCCAGCCCCAGCTTCCTCTGCCTCAGCCCCAGCCCCAGCCCCCTTCTCTCCTCATCCCCAGCCCCAGCTTCCTCTCCTCATCCCCACCCCACTTCCTCTCCCCACCCCCCTTCCTCTCCCCCCCCAGCCCCAGCTTCTCTCCCCCCCCACCCCGCTTCTCTGCCTCCCCCAGCCCCCTCCTCCCCCCCCGCCCCACTTCTCTGCCCCCCCCGCCCCAGCTTCCTCTCCTCATCCCCACCCCACTTCCTCTCCCCAGCCCCAGCCCCAGCTTCGCTCTGCCCCAGCCCCAGCCCCAGCTTCGCTCTGCCTCAGCCCCAGCCCCAGCCCCAGCTTCGCTCTGCCTCAGCCCCAGCCCCAGCCCCAGCTTCACTCTGCCTCAGCCCCAGCCCCAGCCCCAGCTTCACTCTGCCTCATCCCCAGCCCCAGCCCCAGCTTCACTCTGCCTCATCCCCAGCCCCAGCCCCAGCTTCACTCTGCCTCATCCCCAGCCCCAGCTTCACTCTGCCCCATCCCCAGCCCCAGCTTCACTCTGCCCCAGCCCCAGCCCCAGCTTCACTCTGCCTCATCCCCAGCCCCAGCCCCAGCCCCAGCTTCGCTCTGCCTCAGCCCCAGCCCCAGCCCCAGCCCCAGCTTCGCTCTGCCTCAGCCCCAGCCCCAGCTTCGCTCTGCCTCAGCCCCAGCCCCAGCCCCAGCTTCACTCTGCCTCAGCGCTGCTGCTGTTCTGCCTCTGGCGCAGCTCTCTGGGCTGCTCCTCTGGCTCTGGCTGCCGTGGCTCTGCTCCCAGCACAGCGCTGAACCCTGGGCTGCTTCTCTCGGTCTGGCTGTTGTGGCTCTAGTTTGGCCCCTCTGGGCAGACAGAGGATGGGACCCCGCTCTCCTTACTCCCTCATTGGCCTGCCTGCTTTGTCAATCAGGCTGATCTGGAGCATTTGCCTCTCCCCATTGGCCCTGGGGACTGTCAGTCCAAGGTCTTGTTTTCTCATCTGCACTTCTCCTTTCTTTTGTTACTGGGAGAGGGCCAACCAAAAATCCTCATTGAGTTTCAGTAAGGGGACAACAGTCCCCCTTACATCAGCAACAGCAGCCACCCCTGACATTGTGTCTACACACATCTCTGCCTCTGCATGCCCACAACCCAGCAGCCTACATCCCCCCCTCTGCCCCTCTCCTCTTCCCTAGCTCACAGGCTTGGTGCTGGGAACTGGGGGGGAGGCGGTGACAGGCAGATGATTCCCCAGGCCATCCTTATAGGAACACACCTGGGGGCTGGTCAGCGCTGGGAGGGGACAGGCTCCTCCATGGGTGTCACTGTCAGGAACAGAGATTCCCTCCAGCCTGAGCTGGGACTGGGCAGATTATCAAGGGAGATGTGTTTCTAAATCCCTCTTTGTAACCAGTATAAAAATAAGGGTGGAGCGTCCCGGAGAAAGTGTCAGTGAAAGTGAAGAGATGGGACTTGTCAGTCACATTGTAAAATGAGACCTCTCCTGCCTCATAGTCCAGGAAAATCCCTACCCAGCTGGGCCTGACGCTCATGGACAGTGGCGTCAAATGGGAGGTGAGGGCCTTGTATTCCTTATATCTCAGACACACTGTCCAGAATCCATTCTCAGGTGATAGGTAAATCTTCCCCTTCCTTGTCACAGATTCTGTACAAACCCCCAGAGTCCAGTTTGTTTTGTCTCCCACCTCCACCTCTCAGTAACGCCTCCCTCCTGTCAATTTGTTAAAGCCCAGAAAATGGGATAAGTATCAAATCTCTTAATATTGTCAGGCAGATCCTGTTGTTTGTCTTCGTATGTCACAGTTTTCTGATCCTCAGACAGGATGAGGCTGGGATGAGCCGTGTCTGGATCCAGAGTCACATCCACTGGGGAGAGAGTCCACAGAGTCAGTGCTGGAGGCAGGGGCTGGTCACTGGGATCAAAGGGAAATTAACCTGTGTCCCCATTCATTGCTGTGACACAAGGTTGCTGGCCATTTAAGGGGAGTCAGGGCCCCATCTAAGGCCAAGGGGGCAGGGGAAGGAGAGGAGATGGAAAGAGGGGCAGGTTCTTGTGAGGGACATAGGAGAGGGGAGGGACAAGCATCAGGGAAGGGGAGCGGATGGGAAGGGAAGGGGGAGATCTCCATGGAGTAGTGGGAGGGACGGGGCAGGCATCAAGGAATCAGAAAGGATAGGAGGGGAGTAGTGGGGATTGCAGAGAAGAGAGGGATAAAGGCTGGCAGAGGAAGGGGACAGATGTCAGGGAGGCAGAGGGGGGAAGGGCAGGCTGCAGGAACAAGGGTGGTGATGGTGAGGGAAGAGGAAAGACAGGTGCCAGGGGGCAGAGGGAAGGTGCTCAGGGGTGGGGCAGGAGGTAGGAATTTGGGGCAGTAGCAAGGGACCTGGAGGGGCAGGTGCTGTGGGAGTTGCAGAGAGGGGTGGATGCCAGGGGGACATGGAGGACATTGAAGTGGGGTCTAGAGGCCACTCAGGCTAGTTCCCTGTTGTGCCAGGCACTGCACAGAGAGGTGGATCTTTGCTGATGTCTGAGTGACTGAGGAGCACAGATCCCAGTGACTGCACAAAAAGAGCTTGGGCCTAAGTCCCTGGTTTCAGCTCCACTGGGATGTGATCTTTTAAAAGTCATGGAAGACAGAAGAGATTCCAGAAGACTGGAAAAGGGCAAATATAGTGTCAATCTATGAAAAGGGGAATAAGGACAACCTGGGGAATTACAGACCATTTAGCTTTCAGAGTAGCAGCCATGTTAGTCTGTATCCGCAAAAAGAAAAGGAGTACTGTGGCACCTTAGAGACTAACAAATTTATTTGAGCATAAGCTTTCGTGAGCTACAGTTCACTTCATGGGATGCATGATGGAGCAAATAATTAAACAATCAATTTGCAAACATCTAGAAGATAATTAGGTGATAAGTAACAGTCAGCATGGATTTGCCAAGAACAAATTGTGTTAAACCAACCAGATAGCTTTCTTTGACATAGTAACATGCCTTTGGATAGGGGGAAGCGGTAGATGTGGTATATCTTGATTTTAGTTAGGGTTTTGAAACTGTCTTGCACAACCTTCTCATAAACAAACTAGGGCAATACAACCTAGATGGGGTGTGTAACTGGTTGAAAAACAATTCCCAAAAAGTAGTTATTGTTGGTTCACAGTCAGGCTGGAAGGGCATAATGAGTGGGGTCCCGCAGGGATCAGTTCTGGGTCTGGTTCTGTTCAATATCTTCATCAATGATTTAGATAACGGCATAGAGAGCACACTTATAAAGTTTGCGGATGATACAAAGATGGGAGGGGTTGCAAGTGCTTTGGAGAATAGGATTATAATTCAAAATGATCTGGACAAACTGGAGAAATGGTCTGAAGTAAACAGGATGAAATTCAATAAGGAAAAATACAAACTACTCCACTTAGGAAGGAACAATCAGTTGCATACATACAAAATGGGAAATGACTGCCTAGGAAGGAGTACTGCAGAAAGGGATCTGGGGGTCATAGTAGATCACAAACTAAATATGAGATACCAGAAAAAGAAAAGAAGAACAGTGTTACTCTGTTATCTCATGTTTCAGCCTAGCAGCCGTGTTAGTCTGTATTCGCAAAAAGAAAAGGAGTACTAGTGGCACATTAGAGACTAACCAATTTATTTGAGCATAAGCTTTCGTGAGCTACAGCTCACTTCATCGGATGCATACTGTGGAAAGTGTAGAAGATCTTTTTATACACACAAAGCACGTTCTGGGATGAAGAACAGCAGCCCCAGAGTCCCTCCCTTCACTCCCCAGGGCAGGGGAGTGAGAGCCCTCGGCCTCCTGGTCAGTGGGATCTCCCAGCACCGATTCCTGAGCCAGTGTGAAAGTGTCTCCACCCCACAGAGAGGTCTGTATTCCGATGAAGTGAGCTGTAGCTCACGAAAGTTTATGCTCAAATAAATTGGTTAGTCTCTAATGTGCCACTAGTACTCCTTTTCTTTTTGCGAATACAGACTAACACGGCTGCTAGGCTGAAACATGAGATAACAGAGTAACACTGTTGCAAAAAAAGCAAACATCATTCTGGAATACATTATCAGGAGTGTTGTAAGCAAGACTTAAGAAGAAATTCTTCCGCTCTACTCCATGCTGATTAGGCCTCAACTGGAGTATCGTATCCAGTTCTGCACACCACACTTCAGGAAAGATGTGGACAAATTGGAAAAAGTCCAGAGAAAAGCAACAAAAACGATTAAAGGTCTAGAAAACATGACCTATGAGGGAAGATTGAAAAAACTGGGTTTGTTTAGTCTGGAAAAGAGAAGACTGACAAGGGAGATGATAACAGTTTTCATGTACTGTACATAAAAGGTTGTTACAAGGAAGCGGGAGAAAATTGTTGTTCTTAACCTCTGAGGATAGGACAAGAAGCAATGGGTTTAAATTGCAACAAGGTCGGTTTAGGTTGGACATTAGGAAAAACTTCCTGACTCTCAGGGTGGTTCAGCACTGGAATCACTTGCCTAGGGAGGTTGTAGCATCTCCATCACTGGAGATTAAGAGCAGGTTGGACAAACACCTGTCAGGGATGTTCCAGATAATACTGAGTCCTGCCATGAGTGCAGGGGACTGGGCTGGATGACCTCTCGAAGTCCCTTCCAGCCCTATGATTCTATTCGTCTATTCTATTATTCTAAAACTCCTGCTGACCCTGTTGGCACTGAAACTCACTCAGAGCCTAAGTTTGTGCAGTAAAAGTTCCCTCAGTGCCTGTGTTTCTCCCATCTCACCATGCACACAGCTAGCTCCTTCGAGGCATGTGGACGCCTATCCCCTGCCTGAGCCCCACCATGATCAACGGACTGGAGAAGACACATTTTCAGCCACCTCACTCGTGTGCCAGGCCCAGTTTGGTAGGTGTGCTCAGGGGCTGTCTATCAGATCGGGTCCCTCAGGCGAGGTCACAGAGAACAGCCGGTGGGGAAGGGCTTGCCTCATAAATTTTAGCCTAGTGGGTAGGACGTGGGGGACTCTTGGTTTAACTCCACCTCTGCCAGAGGGTGAGAAGGGATTTGCATAGGGCTCAGGACAGTGCTCTACTCACTGGGCTATGCTGATGAGGGGCGTGCCTCAGTCTCTCCTGTTGACGATGTTCCAAGGTGGATAAATAATTAAAGAGTCATTGGAGCAGGGGCACTAGCTCCTTGCTCTCCTACCTCACAGATGGGTGCCCAAACCACCAAGCTGTAGACTCATTCTCAAATTCACTCTCTGGTCCAATGGCCTTTAATTATTTAATCCACAGTGCAACAGCTTCAACAAGGGAGAGTGTGGAAGGCCCAAAACAGCCTCTCTCATACCCAGAGGGTTAAGGTAACTCACCTGAGAGGTAGGTGATCCCTGTTCAAATCCTTATCTCCCCCCAAGCAGATGGGGGAATTGAACCAGGATCACCCACATCCCAGGTAAGTGCTTTAAGCACAGGGCTAAAAGTTATAAGGGAGGCAGCACCAACTGAAGCTCTTCTGGCTGTTTTGTGCGGCGTGAAGAAGGCATCCAATTCATTCCCACAAGAAGTGGTGTAGGTGTCTAAGCCGCCTGACTCCAGTCGAGGTGTTCCCTTTTGTGGCTGATTAAGCAGAGGTAGATACCCGTCTCCGTGAGAGTGACAGGTCTTAGCAGACCCCCTTGTCATCAGTATCTCCCATTGGTTAGCTAATGTAATAACTAGCCTAGTGTGCTGGCATTTGTGAATCACAGCCTGAGACGCCAGTCTCTTACCATTCGTTCTGCAGGGAGCCTGGACACCTAACTAAGGCTTTGTGAGATGCAGTGTTGTTCCTGTGATTAAATATTAGGCACTGGAAGTGCTCAGCATTACAACACCTGTGTCTCTTTGGGGATCCGGGCCTTTGGGTTTAAAATACAAGACATTTCACAAAGCCAAACACTCTATTTTCTCCCTGTGCCCGGCCAGATTGGCCTGCAATGTCCAAAGTTTTCTTCCCAGGCTGGAGCGCACTAAGGAAAAATTGCAGGTGGGAAGCAGTTTAATTTCACAGTCAGAGGGGGTCAAGATCAGAGTTAATATGGGAAGCATCTCCATAGTTCTGAAGTCACAACCACAATCAAAAAACCCTTGGGATCTAGACTCCCCAGCTTTACCAGCAGAGTGTGTGAGTCCCCTCCATGGAGATCTCTGGGTCGTGGCACTGACATGCTGCCCGGTGAGTCTGTAGGGCTCGTGTGCTCCTCAAACAGCTGCTCCAGGATGGGGCTGCCCAGACACTCCCCACAGAGTTTACAGGCTCCGCGGGCCCCGACGGGAAGAGGTTTCTCTGAGACCCTGAGCTCTGACAGGTTTCAGAGTAACAGCCGTGTTAGTCTGTATTCGCAAAAAGAAAAGGAGGACTTGTGGCACCTTAGAGACTAACCAATTTATTTGAGCATAAGCTTTCGTGAGCTACAGCTCACTTCATCGGATGCATACTGTGGAAAGTGTAGAAGATCTTTTTATACACACAAAGCACGTTCTGGGATGAAGAACAGCAGCCCCAGAGTCCCTCCCTTCACTCCCCAGGGCAGGGGAGTGAGAGCCCTCGGCCTCCTGGTCAGTGGGATCTCCCAGCACCGATTCCTGAGCCAGTGTGAAAGTGTCTCCACCCAGAGAGGTCTGCGCACCTGGCAAATACACAGATGTTCCCTGCTCCACTCATGGCGTCCCAGGGCTTGGCCACAGGAGAAAGCATCACAGGGTTAATTTAAATCACTTTGAACACTGCTGTAGTGATCCCAGAGAAAACCCCTGTGTGACTGTCTCAGTGTCATGCGGACGTGACTCATTGGGTTTAACTTTGTGGCGGAGTGCTCTCCATAGACTCCGGTACTCAT